GTTTTTACAACTTTACATATTTTAAACTCTTGTAATGGAATTTCCAAGAATTCCACCAGGAAAATGCCTGCAGATGGTGTCTTTGCAGAGCCAAAAGAGCTTCTTGAACGGAAAGTTGGTTTTACCATAAATTATACAAGAGAGGATCCATATGATCCTCGTGAACTATCTGAATTCCTAGATATAAGACTATGGTTTGTGAGGCTTGATGCTTCTTATCCATGGTTGCTTGTTGTATTGGACTGGCGAGCCGAAGAGCTTGCTCGCTATGCAGCCATGTTGGTTCCTCACCAGGTACTGAATTACTGATTAAGTCGATTAACTTATTTGCTTGTTAGACAATTCATTAGATTCCTAAGGTCCCAAGTTTCTTTTGGCAGATGAGGGTGTTGTATTCAACCCAGAGGCATTCAAATTGTTTGCAACGAAGAAAGCTTTTATTGTGTACTCTTGGTTTAAGCAACATAAAATTCTAAAGTTCAAGTTGAAGACAAGGGACATGGCTAGAATGCTTGGATTTGTTATAGGGGATGAATTGTTTGATTTGATTGATGCACACCCCATTTCTCCATCATAAGCTAAGAATTTTTGTAGTTCCAATATGTGGGACCTTGCATGAATATCCAATTCCGAGCCAATTTGTGAAGCTCTTAAGTACTGGCATTGAGGACATTGAATTTGAGAAACATCCACAAGATGCAACAAGAAAGTTAGAGTGGAAGGACAACAGAGAAGTGAATGCAATCCTTTTCAATAACAAGTAGAATGTTTTGATGACTGAAGTATTGTATTGCTCTTCACACTCCAAAAAAAAAAAGACAAAACAAAAGAAGAATAGGTATCATTTTGTTTGAGAGAGTATAATATAATTCAAAAAAGTTTTTCATTTATTCAATCATTTATATAGTAGTTAGCAAATATTTTTGTTCATTTCTAAATTTCCTTGTTTGCTAGTAGGGCTGTTCACGGGTCGGGTTGGGTCGGTTTATTGCAGTTTTTCCAACCGACCCGACCTGGTTGGGTTACCTGACATAGAAATCGAAACCGACCCAGTGTTAAGCAAAACCGACCTGGTCGGTTTGAGTCGGGTTGGGTCGGGTTGGATTGGTTTGGGTCGGTTTCGGTTCTAAGTTCATCCCTGCGATAAAATCTTGCTAATTTTAAAAACAGTCATAAATTGAACATCATTTCAGCCATCTCCTATGATAAAATTTAAATGAAAAGTTAATAACAAAAGTTGTTCATTAATCACTATTCACTAATCCAAAGTTTCTTGCAACCATTCAAAAACTAGGTGGCCTAATGAGCTTTGGAACTTCATGTTTGAACTAGGAACTAAGTCGGTTTTCACACAAGAAAACCGAAACCGACCTGAATCATTGGTTTAGGAATTTGCACAACCCGAAACCAACCCGTGCTGATGAAAATCTGCCCGACTCGGGTTGGGTCGGTTTGGGTCGGTCTGGGTTGGTCGGGTTGGGCCTTCTTATGAACAACCCTATTTGCTAGAAAACTTTATTAAATTTCTCTCTATTAATCCAATGGTTGAAACTCCATATCTACTTCCATTTAAGCATTATCATTATAACCTCCCACGTGCAACGCACATGCCCTTTTACTAGTATACTCAAAAGAGAGAGAAATGGTATGCAAGTAGAACCTCCAATATTGCAAGGGCACTAATCTAAAACGTTATATAGGGAAATCGGGTACCTTCACAGAGCCATTAACTAAGTAATAGATTTGGAATTTTTTTTAACAACAGAACAACAAGGCATCAGGTAGAAAAGAGTTAATTCATCATTCAAACAAAACTAAAATATATTGTAGCGATAAAATTCCATATTGGCCTGTATCACATTGTATTGATTGCATTGATATGCGGTGTTTCTCCATAAAAAAGTGTAAGTGTGGGGATTCGAACTCACATAACAAAGCACACACATAACCTTGCACCTTAAATATGATTCTAAGCCACTAATCCATTTTTATCCCTATGATAATAAATCAAATAAAATTAATTGTATTAACGTCTGTCTTTACATGTGATTCTTTCAATCTCTATTACCAAGAAAAACTCTAATTAAAATTTCAAAATGAATACAAAAAAAAAAGAAACTAAAATTTCAAAAGAATAATATTCAAAACAGTATTTTATAAACTAATTCAATAAATTATTTATCACATCCATGTTTATATAAAAAGACGAATTTTAATATCAGGAAAATTATACAAATAAAATATTAAGAATAGAATAATTATTTTAATGCTTAAAATTTATAAATTTACAAATGACATGCATATTAAAATTATTATATATTTTTACAAATTATTAATTAATATTAATAAGTAATAATAACATATTTATTATTTATAAAAAATAAGAATGTTGTTTATAAAATATTTAAGAATATAACATTAAATTGAATTTATTAAATCCATTAATCTACATTTATTTCAAAAAATTATTTTTCATATTAGAAAAATTATATAAATAAAATATTAATAAAGGAATAATTATTTTAGTAATTAAAAATTATGAATTTTTATATTATATGTATATTATAAATGTTAACAAATTTGATATACTTTAAGTTAAGATTAGATTTTTATAAATTATTAATTAATACTTGAGAATTTAATATTTAGTTGACTTTTTGTTAATGTTAAAAAATTAAAAATAAAAATAGTTTATATAATAACTAAAATATAATAGGTGCATATGCTTAGTGCCTTGGACTCTTTGTTGATGCATTATTAATAAAATTATATGATATCTATGCATCCTGATATATTAATTATAATATATTTCTTCATATATATCACTAAAATATACATTTCCTATGTATTAATATACTATTTGTGATTATTTTGATTTTAAATTTAATGATATTATTGAATTTATGGAATTTTTATGTATTTTCCTAGCATATTCATGCATTTTCATATTTTTTGTCTCTATCAATGAGTTTCCAAAGTGTATTTGTATTCGTATCCATATCCGAGTTGTCCGATACAATACCCAATACCTGTACTTTAATGTTTGGTTTCATATTATATGATTCTCAAATCAAAGGGGGTCTTAAATTGCTTAATTAGGGTTTTATTTTTCGTTTTCATTTGTTGTTGTTGTTGTTGTTCTTCTTCTTCTTCTTCTTCCCGGCCTTTCTTTCTTTAAGGCTTTTAATTTTAACGTTGTAGAATATCTTGATTGGTTGGAAGACGGTGAAGTGAAGGCAAACAGGAACATATCCACGATCTTTGAGGAGATATTTGGCTAATGCCCTTGCAATTTTAGTTACCACATAAGAAAATCAAGGGCATTAACGTCTAGTCTGAACAGATTGTTCAGATGGATCTCAAGATTAGGAAAAAAAATCTAGTTGATGCTCTTGCAAGGAGAAGGTATAACAATTAAAAGTTTCATTAATGGGAAATTGAAATTTTAGAAATTAGAAGTGCACATTATTAACGAAGAACAATCAAACGGGCGAAGAAGCAATAATTTACAAGACAAAGAACGATGAACGAATTGAAGCACCTTGCCGATGGGTTAGAGAACTGCAAAAACAAGGAGAAGTGCCACGATTCGTTAGGAAAAAAACACCTTGCCGACGGCAAGGTGGAGGATTAATGGGGTGTTGACGACGATTGTTCAGATGGATCTCAAGATCAAGAAAAAAAATCTAGTTGATGCTCTTGCAAGGAGAAGGTATAACAATTAAAAGTTTCATTGATGGGAAACTGAAATTTTAGAAATTAGAAGTGCAC